GGGTGTTGCCTTCTGACACACTTCTGGCACATGCAAATAAGTTATGCTAACAGTTTATGCTAATGAGCTCCTGCACCTCTTTTTCTACAAAACGACCCCTGCATGCAGATGAGAAGTGGCTGAAGTTAAGAAAGAGTGGCTTTCTTCATGAGGTAGTGGCAGAGATGATTCACAACTTAGCAATTGCGTCGCGCCAGCTGCTGCATACTTACACACTGCATATCTAGAGTCTGACAGCTCTTCTGACATTCAGCTCCAGTGCTTCCGCTGGTGGCATTTTTGCAGTCAAAATAGACCATGGGAGGAGCACACACTAGCATAGAGAGAGAGAGTGGGAGAGAGAGTGGTGTAGACGTAAGTACAGGCTTGAATGCCAGAGAGCATGAGAATGAGGAGGAGGATGTGGTTTCTCGAACCATTCTTAACAGGGTGCTATGAAGTCTGTGCCAATGTGCAGCTTTTAAGAACTTGAGAACATAAGAGACGCCAAGGTTGGATCAGGCCAACGGCCCATCCAGTCCAGCACTCCGTAACACAATGGCCAAAATACCAGGGGCCATCAGGAGGCCCACCAGCAGTGGGGCCAGGACATTAGGAGCCCTCTCTCTGTCGCCCCCCCCCCTCAAGCACCAAGAATACAGAGCGTCACTTGCCCCAGCCTGTGAGTTCCTATCTATACCTTGTGGCTAATAGCCACTGGTGGACCTCTGCTCCATATATTTACCCAGTTCCCTCTTATAATAACATAAGAGAAGCCAATGTTGGATCAGGCCAACGGCCCATCCAGTCCAACACTCTGTCACACAGTGGCCAAAAGTACCAGGTGCCATCAGGAGGTCCACCAGTGGGGCCAGGACACTAGAAGCCCTCCCACTGTTGCCCCCCAGCACCAAGAATACAGAGCATCCCTTGCCCCAGACTGACAGTTCCTATCTATTGTTGTTGTTCAGTCGCACAGTCGAGTCCGACTCTTCGCAACTCCATGGACCACATCATGCCAGGCCCTCTTGTCTTCTGTCGTGCTCCGGGGTTTGCTTAATACCGTGGACTTCTGCTCCATATGCTTATCTAATTCCCCCTTGAAGCTGTCCATGCTTGTAGCTGCCACCAGCGTTCCCTCTAAGCCGAGTTAGTGTGAGCTAGCTCACAGTTTTTTAGCCTCCGGCTCACAGATTTTTGTCTTAGCTCAGGAAGGATGGCCCCAGAACAAACTAATTTATGCAGTAGTCAAATCGTTTGCTCACAACTTTAATCTCAGTAGCTCACAAAGTAGAATTTTTGCTCACAAGACTCCACAGCTTAGAGGGAGCATTGGCTGCCACCACCTCCTGTGGCAGTGAATCCCATGTGTTAATCACTCTTTGGGTGAAGAAGTACTTCCTCTTATCTGTTCTAACCCAACCACTCAGCAATTTCATTGAGATAAGAACATAAGAGAAACCGTATGGCCTTCTAGTGTCAATACAATCATTTTGCTACTTGTGTTGGGAGTTGTCTACACCCTCCCCTGAGAACAGATATTTGAAGAAACAACAATGCTCAGCCACATCATGTGTGTATTTACTCAAACTAAGTTCGGAGCACAAGTGAATCGCTTTAATATTATTATTTAAAAAAACAACAACAACAACACAGATTCTACAGATATTTTTGCGGCCTTCAAGCTTGTTTTGTTGTAGCCATGACTGAACTTGCTCAAAGAAAAACAACAGCTGAACAGTAAATACAGGGTCTCCCCCCCCTTACCTGACTTCAAGTTCTCGTCTCCAATGCAGTTCAGCTTCCCTTGAGCACAAGTGCTATGTAAATAAAAAGACAATTATATGGAATTTATATCACCTAGAAATTTACCAGATTAACATCCTGTGCTTCAGAACTCTGGGCCTTTAAACTGCATTTCTATAATCTCATCTTGAAAATCAGCACAAAGTTCCCAGTAACCAGGGGTATTTTATGTAAGGCAAAAATGTGATCTAAATTAGGAATAATTAGAGTTTGAAAATAAGACCATGCTTGCCATTGATGTTACTCTAGTTATTTAGGCATTTTAGTTTCTACAGTTTTTTAAAAAAAACATAACAACAAATAGTTACAATTTGAAACTTAAACTTAAACATTATTAAACTTTACAACATTGTCTTCATAATTGTTCCTTGAGTTACAATTACAATAATAACTATTCTACTAAAAATTAAACGATTCTATAAGCAAAGGTTTAAACTATGACATCTATTACAATATCCATTCTTTTCTAGTAAATGCATAATTGTGATTTTTGAGCAGGTTTAATTTGTTCCAGAACATTTTCTAAGTTTTCCAATATTGGTTGCCATCTACCAAGGAAAGCCTGAGATCTTGATATGTCTTCTGAACTGGTAAGTCTTTCCGAAACTTTATCCATTAGTAAGTGATCCCATATTTTGGAATACCATAATTTAATATTCAATAGTCTGTTGTTTTCCCAACTTTGGGCTATAGTCGTTTTGGCCGCCGCTAATAAAATAGTAAATAATTCTTTGGTATAATTTGGAATGGGGACGTCTTTCCAAAAGTTTAGTGGTAATTAGTTTCTACAGTTAAGGAAAATAGAAAATATAGTCACCTAGATATATGTGAACTAAATGGAAATGCGACAGACAGTGCCACTCAAAAGATGTCTATTGCGATGATAATAATATTTAGACTCAAAATCTGAATCTTCATACCAGACAACACCAGCTTCATGGAGAACTTCACCAGGTGGTACAGCTGTTCCTCTGTAATAGCAGGGACAACTACTGGCAGGCACACATTTTCCAAAGTCATCCATGTAGGTTCCATTTGCACATACACAGCCATCAACTGGGACAAATTTGACGTGGCAGGTAACATCTGGTTCACTCAGGGACCTACAGGTAGGTTGACAGGAACTGATGGTATAGCTGTAGTTCAGGGATTTGGGGCATGAAGTCATGTATTTGGCTTGAAGGAGGGAAACAAAAGAAAATGGCATCAATGATGTGTTAATTGGGGGGGGGAAACCCATGATGGGTTGACTCCAAAGTTTTCATTCTGATAGCAGGAGAGCCTTCCCTGATGCGGTGTGTGTGTGTGTGTGTGTCTCAGTGAGAGAGCATCTGCTTGGCATGCAGAAGGTCTCAGTTTCAATCCCCAGCATTACCAGTTAAAGGATTTGGCAGCAGATGATATGAAAGACCTCTGCCTGAAACCTTGGAGAACCACTGCCAGCCTGAGTAGGCAATACTGACTTTGATGGACCAAGGGTCTAATTCAGTATAAGGCAGCTTTGTGAGTTCCATATAATGCTGAAGGTGAGCAGCAGGCCCATAGCTACAGTGGGGCATTTCAGGGCCTGACCCCCCCCCGACTTCCTGCCATGCCCCCCCACCGACTTCCATCCAGCCCCCGGCTCCCTGGACCACTCGGAGGACTCCCTACCACCGCCCCTTCCCCAAGCGTGGCTTGCTTCTCCGTGTAGGCACCAACAATATCCACCCAGGGAAGACCATCAGATCATTGAAACGCTTGATTTATACCTGGGAGAGGCGTTCGGCTGTTATTCTTTCCACAGTGGGAGTCTTCTGTTACAGTTACTTTCTGTTTGGAGGTCTATGGACACTACTTATGTATGTAATTACAGAAGAGCCTACTGTTGGTCTTGAATATGTTTCTTGTTTAAACTATGTTTGATTGTTATGAGCAAATTGTTGGATCTATGTTTACATATTCTATTGGGTTGTGACCACTAACCCTTCTTTGTATTTCAATGAATATAATATATAGTTTTGAACATAGTTGTGAACCATCTTCCCTTGGTGGATATTGTTTGTGACTATTGTTTGTGGATATTGTTTGTCTTTGGCATCCCTATGTAGGCAGGCAGAGAGTGAACATTGCAAAAGTGATTTTTAAAATTAAATTTTATATTTTATTTTGTGACATCAGTGCCCCCTGACTTATTGAAAGCCCCCCCAAATTACAAAATCCTGGCTACGGGCCAGTAGTCCTCTGCTGGCAGGAGGCATCACATGCTGGCGGAAGGTTCCTTGACCCAGCTCAAGACCCCACTCAACAAAACAATTTTTTTTTTGGATCCAACCCACAGGGAACATAAGTACAGAATTCATTTGGCAAAATAAGAATACAACATTTCATTTGCTCATTTTCGTGACAAGAGGGTTTAGAAACTGGTAGAGTTCATTGGCAGGAAAGTTCTTTCACTTAATTTCTGGAATGGTTGCTCAGATCACTTACAACTAGGCTTGTCAAGTCCCCCCGGGGGGCGGGGAAACCCCTGCTCGATGGTCCCGTTATCTGCCGGCCCGGATCGAGGCCGCCGGGGGGAACCCCACCCCCCAAATCCCGGGAACATGCAGACGTGCCCGGCTTGATGATGTCACCCAGAGGTGACATCATCACACCGGCCACATTGCGGGGGGGAGACACTCTATGATTCAAGGGAAAACTCTAGTGGTCCCACCCGCAATGTGACTGACCACAATGTCACTACCGCGTGCCGAAAACCTCCAGGACGAGGCCCAGGACTCCCCCGCTCTAAGGTAAGTTGCACTTGGCAAACCTACTTACAACAGACAGTAGTCCTCCATCCAGGAAGTTCAACTCCTTTGGCAGCACAGGACCTGACATAGGCGGAGAGGGCAGCACACATGCAGTCCTCGCTTCTCTCACAGTTGCAGGTGTCAAACATGCAGTTCTAGGAAAGGGCAAAGTACCCTTGTTAAAATTTATCCAGATATGTATTCAAAACCATTTCCTTTTAAGCTTTCCTGTCTGGTCTCAGTTTCTTCGCCAAGTGGGGTTTCATTGTCAGTCTATGTTATTCGCCAATCAGATAGCTGACACATGGATCCCAAGTAGCATGCCATCCAAGTAGAAGAAGAAGAAGAGTTTGGATTTATACCCCGCCCTTCACCACCCAAAGGTGTCTCAGAGCGGCTCACAAACTCCTTTCCCTTCCCCTCCCCACAAGAGACACCCTGTGAGGTAGAAGAAGAAGAGATTGGATTTATACCCCGCCCTTCACTACTCAAAGGTGTCTCAGAGTGGCTTACAAACTCCTTTCCCTTCCCCTCCCCACAACAGACACACTGTGAGTTAAGTGGTGTGAGAGAGCTCTGACAGCTCTTATCAGAACTACGACTTGCCCAAGGTCATCTAGCCAGGTGCAAGTGGAGGAGTGGGGAATCAAACCCGGTTCTCCCAGATTAGAGTCCGCACACTTAACCACTACACCAAACTGGCTTAAAGGGCCAGGTCATTGTGCTTGGCTCCAACAGCAGCATTATGCATCTTCAGATCATTTTGGTGGTATACTGCACCTGATACCAATTGTAGTTACTTGAAAGGAAGAGAACCCTGAATGCAAGATGACCCCCCCAAAAAAAGAAATCTTACACACACAAAAAAGATATCACAGCACTAAACTGTAACATGTATGGAAATGTCAAATTACCTCTTCCTTTTTTATTTTTTAATGGTATACTTGGGGGGGGGGAAATAGTCTTGCATTTGGGTAAATACAGTAATTCGTTTTGCTTTTCACTGTAATGTTTCTAAGCACTCTAAAGAAGAAATGTGATTTCCATTCCATTGGTGAACCTATATGCAAGATGACTTGTCAGTAGGCAAAGCACAAGATCAAATATGGACCAACAATACGTATATCTATTAACGGTAAAAGTAGATTTATATTCAGGTCTAAAAGCAAAGGGTTCAGACATTCAGAGGGATGAGACGCATGTTACAAAGAAATGTTCTGGAATTCTGTGCCTCCCAGGTGCAGGTGGACCTGATTTGGATTAGGACTGCCGTGCACAGGGAGAGGGTGCTTAAGCGCTCCCGCCCCCCACATACCATTTCCCCTACTTGAAAGGGCTGCAGGAGCAACAATTTGCCCTTTTGAGGAAATTTACGTACATAACCAACATAGCATTTAAGTTTCCCTAGCTGGGTGAATAGTGACTCCCTGGGGCTGTTTCTCATTGGGAAAATGGTTCCGGAGTGATGCTTAAGCATCACTCACAATTTGTGGGCCCAAACTCCTCCTCCTCCTCCTCCTCCTCTTCTTCTTTTCACTGTGTAGCTAACGGTAAGCTGTGGAAGCCATTTTGTGGCAGCCATTTTGTGGCTAGGCAGTGTTCCCATCCAAATTGGCTACATGCATCTTGGGAGGTACAGAACTCCAGAACATGCCTTTGTAATTGATGCATCGTTGCTTTATCCAGCCCTTCGGAAGTCATAGGGCCAGTTCACCATGCATGTGTTTGACTTGATTTCTTATAAACTGATGACTCGCAGGTAAAATGAACTGTGTCTTGGTGATACGGGAGTGACACAAATGGCCTTTCTACGATCTACAACGGCTCACGCACGTCATCAAGCAGCAAACATATATGAGGGAACGAGTCCTTAAAACTTTCCTTTGTCTTCTCTGTTATGACCCAGGCTCTCAGCCCAGCCTTCGGCAGTGTTCCCTCTAAGCTGAGTTACTGTGAGCTAGCTCACAGTTTTTTAGCCTCCAGCTCACACATTTTTTGTCTCCGCTCAGGCTACTTTATGCAGTAGCCAAATCGCTCGCTCACAACTTTAATGCCAGGAGCTCACAAAGGAGAATTTTTGCTCACAAGACTCCACAGCTTAGAGGGAACATTGGCCTTCAGTTAATTTGTTTGACTACTTCCATGTTACCTTCAAGTCCTGGGCTCAGCCTTTTCTCATTCCTGACACAAGGCGAGGTATGGACTCCGTCGGCCCAAAATGGAAAGCAGTCTCTCAGCCACTTTGGTGAAGTGGTCCCAAGAATTTCTTTC